GACATTCTTTATCCAGAGCAGTTCTCAGTTTGTGAGCTATGATTAAAAATTAATTTCCGTCCCCAACTCAAGTAGTGAATTATCGCAGCTACAATCCAACAGATGCTGCCAAGTTGTGTTTCTGGGAAAACACACTTCACCTCTGTCTGGATAGCAATGTTATTTTAGGATCTGCTGTGCCAATCCAACTGCCTGCTGTTGTCCTCACAGCTTCACAGCAGATGTTGGAATTCTAAAAGCATTTCCAGAGGGACCTTTTGCCCCCTCCCAGGGTGGCTGTTGAAATCACTCATTCTATAGTTTTAATCTGAGAAGGAACAAAGGAATTTATTTCTCTGTAGTACTGTATTTTGGGGAAAAATATTAAAAGCTCAAAAACAATCTGTTCTAGAAGACAGGTCAGCTCAACAGCTCTGTTCTACTGATAATCAGAGGCATCCTGAAAACTAAGTGACTGCATGCAGCTGTGTGAGCTCTTTCCCAACAAACATTCCCATGGAATTTAAAAAAAAAGCAACAAGTAACTGGTAGCACAGGTTATGTTAAATAAAAACCAGTGAGCTTTATACCTAAACTACCATTTACTTTTTATTAATTTATATGAAGAAAAAGGCAATCAAATCTCACCATTTTAAAATGTTTGCTCACAAGCATTTGACTTGGTCCCATCATTACAAATGCCTTTATTTGCCTAGTTTACTTCTGCTGCTAACTCTTTTGTAAACAATTCATTAGCATTATTTAGTTACATGCACGGAGGCTAATGTTAAGTAACACAAGAGCCAACTTTCAGAATACAATTTTAACACACACAATATGCTGTGTCTAAGCTACTTATCTTAGCCATACTGCTAACTCACTGCAGAAGATGAGGAGAGTGCTGCAGGGCAAGCAAGCAACGGAACAACGCTGGCATGCTTGAGAAATTCCTCGTTGCTTTGGAGAATTCGGACCACGGCACGTGATTTTGCCTCTAGGTGATTGGTGAACTTTCACCAGGTTATACAGTTTTAAGTATCTCAGTCCTTGTAGAATACATTGGAAATACAACAAAATTAAGGAATTGGTCAGTAGGCAGCTTGTAATCTCAACTCAAAGCAAACAACTCAGTAGCAATTATTTGCTTTGTATTTTACCCAACGCTTCCTCGAAATCTTCCATATTCCCAAAATGATGGAGTCCACTGTTGGTTTCTTCTCTGCCTCTGAATGGTAAAAGCATGAAATTCACTACTGACTACAAATTCCACAATTCAGCTACAGCCTTCCAAAAAAAAAAAAAAGAAAGAAAAAACAAACAACTAAACCCAAACAACATCAGGATTTGAGCCTCTCTGATTTTTTCATTTGAGAGGCTGCTGAAAAACAAGAAACAATAAGTGTCTGAAAATCAGGAAACAGCACAGAGATGCTATCCCTCATGTGAAGCAAGAAGGGCAGAGGGCAGAGATAAGACATTTTCCATATTCATACTGAACTGAAGTAAGAGCAACCATTTCCCAGAGAGCACCTTCCCAAACTCTAATGGTGCAGGAGGCAGGAAAACAAGGGCTTGCAAGAGGGTCAGCTTTCTCTCTGCACTGGGAGCAGCTGTTCATTTCACTCTGGACTCTAAAACAGCACAGCAAAAAATCCCTGAAGTGGAACTTAAGGAAACTTGGTCTTAAAACCTTCCTTCAGCCAGTACTCCGCCAGATCACTTGTCAACATATTCAATATTTTTATTCTGAGCCATAGATTACTATAAAGCAGTGATAAAGTTTACCTCCTCTGTAGAGACTCAGCTTCCCCATCACAAAGAAAACTCAATGCTAAGAAGTGTTCCATGCATAGTAACAAAAGCAAATGTATGTGGTAGTTTTAACATAACCACTACCATTAAGACCAACAAAAACTGTGTCTGTTCGAGGAGAAAGTCTTCAACTGTATGAAACCTTCCTAGAGTACTGACATAAGGACACAGCATCTGGAAAAGGAAACAGGTATACTGCTTTTAGTTGCTCCTTCCTCCCAGTTAGCAGTCACCTTGTCAGGGCATGCATGGAAGCTCTATTCATTATGCAAAGCTGAAATGAATGAAGGCTGCAGATGCTGAGACTGATGGGAGGCACCCAGCCCTTCCTTATCCTCCCACATATACTGGAACAAAAAGAGCACCTACACTCTATGACACCGTACACTCAGTTCAACGCTGCCTCATGCGGACTGTGCCAGCACAACACAGGATGGAATTAGTTTGCAGAAACACTGCTGTATTTCAAGACAGGAGAACCACGCAGCTGATACAGTCAAAAATACTGAAACCAGAGTTTTGTTTTTCCCTACCTTGAGCACAAGTGCTCTGTCACCATTGAAACAACTTTTTAGACCATGAACACAGACTATGAACATGCTAGCTAGCTCTGCACTGCATGGTGTGGTTTGGTTTGTTAAGGATGCAGATTTTAATTACTGTTATTTACAAGCTACTCATTTCAATACATGCTAGTGAGGAAGTAGCTACTCCAATAGAAGTCTTACATAAAATGTTTCTCCGCTGACTTGTTTCTTGTGCTCTATTTATATCAGAACTGCAGGGGAGAGCATAAAGACATGATCTTAAATGTACCTGAATTCATTACATATTCTAGAAAAGTGAACTCAAGTATCCACATTTAGTTTAAGGATACCTAAGGATTATGAGATTAGAATCCCACTGGCTTTCCGGGAGGATTCAGCAAGATAACTCCAAATTACTTCAAGGGCTGGTGTGAAATGGACCTCTGTACTTATTTAGCCTCTGCTCTAGATTACTGACCCACTTCTGAGGAGCTCAGCATCCCTGCTGTGTGATGCCAACACCCACTCCATCTGTTTGCTTCTGCTTTCTCAGAACCTCGATTTGTCTGCATAAGAAGTTGTGGTAATTCACACAAGCAGTTTGGGTAGCTCACACAGCATCAGCCCCACTTTCTGTGTGGTCACCTTGACAAACAGAAACAGTACAACGCAACAGGATTATCAAAAGCTGCGTGTATGCAGATTTCTGAAGGGGCAGCTTTATTCAGTTCCATCCAAGCCACTCTCTGTTCTGAGATGAAAAAAGTATACTAGAATTAACCACTTTATCAAACTACGAAAATTTTCAATATTCCAGCAGCTTCTGAAACCACAAGTGAAATTTCTAGTGATGGTATAAAGCAAGAGCTCCACAAAGGGGCAGCTCACAGCACTTCCCAATATCCTGAGTTAAGCAATTATCAAAACTGAATCTAAAACTGTTCAAAAACCAGCAACAACAAAAAAACAAACCTTCATTCAGGTGAAGCACACCTCAGCAACTGAGCATCCCAAACTTCTTGCCCACAACAAAGGAACAAAATGTTTCCACGTCAACCCTTTGTTGTTTACCCATGCTGATCTGCAGATCTTTAAGAAATTCATTGGAATGGGTCTCAAGCAGCAGTTTTATTAGCTTACTAAATCCAAAAACAAAAAACTCCAGAAGTCGTTACAGTACCGAGCTGACATTTAGTCTTCCCTGGGAGCCCAGAACTACTGCCGTAAAGTAAAATAACAGCAACAGTCCAAAAGCCAGCTATGAAAATGAAGTCTGTGTACTGATATCATCTTGCCCGTCAGCACCAAAGCCGTTTGTTAGTTGAAAACTAAATCTTATGCCAACACTACCCAAAGACCTCCAGCTACCAGTTTACTTACACAGTAGCCAAGAAAAGTAAAACATGAGCTCTCCTTCAGCTGAACAAGGATGGGGAAGAACAGTGCATCAGAATCCAGCAATAACTGCCCATCACAACAAGGAGACTATACAAAGGAGATGAGAAACCCAGAATATTAGGGGACAATTTGGGAAGAAAACGCAGGTGGGAGGCAACGTTAGGAACAAAAGATGAACAGAAAATAGAGGACAGAAAGAAAGCAGCTATGTGTATGGATTACAGAAAAAGCTATGTCAAACCCAAAGGATAATGCTAAAACCATGATCAGGTAACAACCATAACATATTTGATAGGTGGCAACCACGACTGACATCAGTTGAATGTAGATGAAACTGATTAAAACAAAGCTTAAAAGTAGCTGGGATCAGTGTGCTAATAATACAGAAATTAAGGTCATAAAATATGCAGTTTCTCTCTCTTAGAAACTATTCTAAGTGCCAGGGGGCTAAATGCCCAAAATATTCCTGTCACCAGACTTTCTTACATTTTTGTAGAAACACACCATAGAGTGATCTGAGATTCATGTTGCACCCCTGATGAGCTTACACATGCACCATCAGTGGTATTTCTGTACAACATGAACCTGGAGATGCACTTTACAAACACAACCCTTGCCTCTCGCACAGCAATTGCAATGAATTGAGAAAGTCAAATGCAAGCTGTTTTATCTAAATATACATACATATAAGGAGCAGAAAAGAAGATCTAGAAGTACTCTTAATTAAATGAAAAGCACTTTCATTAATCAATAACAAATAATAATTAGTCTTCAGAAAAATTGCTTCCACTGATGTTTCCCTTCAAATGGGAAAACGGATGTAGACTGTAAAACTTCAACAAAACTTCCATATACAACTGAAAAATAATAATTAAGAGGACTGAAGTGTTGACCAAGGAAAAACTAGTCTTTTTTGTTTGTTTTAATGTGGAAGTGCAAGTTCAAGTAAGCCCCTCCAAATAAAGAGAGTTATAAAATAAAAGCATATGGCAGTGTTATGAGCTAAGAGCTGCGCTAGGGACCACCAGAACAAACACAAACTGGAATCCAGTTAGTAATAAAAACTGAATTGTAAACTTATAAAAAAATTGTGCATGTACAAAGCATGTGATTCAGTTCTAAGAGTTGAAGCAAGCAGTACATAAAACCAAAACAGGTTTTAAAGAACTTTTAAAGAATCAAAGGCATGCAACTGATTCTGTTATTAATTTGTTCACACAAATTTACATCCATTTAGTCACTCCTTAAGTGGCTGTAAGGAATGTCGAACGCAACAGAACTTACCTTGGTATTGTCACACACTTCGTATTGCAGTTCTGAGTGGTAATGGCCTTCTCAAGCTCATCCAGCTGTCCTGTTTTCTTCAGCTTCTTGACCAAGCTTTTCACTGCTTTTTCACACCACTTCTCCTCCTGCCCATTCTGCTCACCACTGGCCGCTCCGGAGCCACCAGCAGATTTTTTCCATCCAAGAAGTCTCTTCACAACCGGTGGAGTGAATGGCAGTATGGATGACATGACTTCCACCAGACAGAAAACTCAGCACACAGTTAGAGATTTCTGTCTGATCCCTAAAAATGCAAACCGAAACAGACATATTAGCACTGAGGTTTTACTTAAGATCATTCCTTGCTTAGGATCTTCCATTATCAAATGCTATAGGACATGCCACCTCCAAACAATTCATTTAATAGTTCAGAAGGTGGATCTGAAATTCACTTTAAATTTTGATGATGAGTTTATTCCATGGCTCTAATCTACAACTCAACAGCTGACAGATAATCAACCTTCCAAAAGGTCACTAATTTAAATCATCAAGTCTTTCAAAATCCATTGAAGGAAATTTAATATCTCATTTTGTAGCTACCTGAATGGTGCAGTTGTATTTGTTTTGAATTCTAACACCTTTTCATTTGATATCAACTACCCAATCAGGACATTTACATAAAACATCAGGAGGGATGCTGAAGCTTGAGCTATGTCTGGCATTCATCTCTATTTGTACTTCAAACCGATTAGAAGAAATGATAGCCAGTTTTATGTATATACATATATATACACTGCCTAGTATTACAATTTGTATGAGGCTACTTTCAGATATTAAAATATAAGCCCCAAATCAGCTGTATCATTTTAAGCAGACAGCTATTGGAGTTTGTTTGAGGACAGCATCATCTACAGACAAGAGCACTGCATTAAAGTCAGAACTAGTCTTATTTCCAGGCAGTAACAGGATATCTGAATTCCACAAACTTACCGTGCTGTCAAACTTCAGCACTCTAAGTTGTAATAGTTAGTTCCCTGTTGAGGTCAAGTACAAAATGTTACCTTCAAGCTACTCAATCAGAGCTTTCTAGGCAGCTTATGTGCATACTGTGCAGGCACGCTCCTCACTTCTATCCAAAATATACCTCACCTTGTAAGGTTTCTCATCTGCAAAACAGCAATGGTTCATTTGGGACACTTCAGGCTGATTTCTGCTTCATCACGCCTTCGCAATTTCAATGAGAACCAACAAGTCAACAAAAGCGGGGTTATATTCCACAGGCAGCTTTAAATAATAACTCATCTATTCTAAATGAAAGGTTTCACCTTCATATAAGACTATAGCACGAGAAGAACTGTTCTTTCAATGGTGTTAAATTATTACAGAACTGTGGCCAATACATCAGGCTGCAGGTCAAGTTTTGCAGACTGCAGAAGCATTATACTGGAGCCCCAGCTACAGCAAACTACAGAAACAATCACAATAGCCAACATTTTCAATCCAATGCTAAGCAGGACACTCAAGCTGTGTTTTCCCTAGGAGCCAATATTGACAGACATACCCAACCAGATGCCTCCGTCACTGCTCATCCACACACCTCTTCTTCCCAAATTTATGGAGCTCAATAACACGTAATACGCATTATCAACTCTTTAGCTTCTGATCTGTCACCTTTCAACTGCCCTGATTATCAGCATTATAAACTACACACTTCAGCAGTCTCACTTACTAAAATGTTAAATTGCCTATTCTTCCAAACCTTCTAAACATTCTGTCCTTTTATCTATTTTCAGCTTTACAATACCCCTTGATAGGATGCGTCCAAGCTTGCTGTATTCTCTCCCTTGAGATAACACTGATACCTATACACAATTTCTGTATTCTCTGATGTTTTTTTTTTTTTTAAATACAGACCACAATTTGTGTTTCTGCCTCAAATGCATGTTGATTAAGTCTTGAAATGGGCTACATGCAGAAAGCCCATGCATCTCAGACTTGCTTTACATTTGAACTCTCACATTTTTCAGATAGTCTGAGGCAAAAATCCTCCTCTCCCCATTTCCGAAAGACTGACAGTCCAGCCCTAACTAATCAGAATTTTCCAGATTCTTTACTTGATTTCTACCACTTTCCTTACACACATTTACTAATTTCTACAGATGCTTTCAGAAAGCAGTTTCTGTTAGTCTCGCATCATATTTACATTAAAACAATTTATTTTTAAATAGGAGGATGTATGATTTAAGAAAACAATATATTTGCCATGGCTGCAGAGTAAGTGTGATTCTGGGAAGCTCTGACTGCTCTTCTAGCCATGGTTATGCCATGTCACGGATTTGCCAGTGTTATCAGTAAGCATTTCAACAAACCATTCCAGCAGCAATCTCACTTCTTCCAAAGGGTGAGCAAAGAGAACGTGACACAAGTAGGACAGGATTTTGTTCGCCTTAACACTGCAGCCAACTGTGATGAATACACACAGGACAATCTTTCAGCCAGCTTAACATATGCAGAAGTTACACACTTCTCCATGCCTACAGGAGGCACAGCAAAGTACAGACCTCAATTATGCAAGGAAAAAGCAGTAATAAAGTAATTAAGAAAAACCCTAATGTGACAGAAGTCAGTGCATCTAGCTTAGTGCCCCATCCCAACAGCAGAAAGTCGTTTTTCCTGCCTGCGTACTATTTTCACTACCATCCAGAGAATGGTGGTGAATGGAGATACATCCAGCTGGCAACTAGTCATGAGTGGTGTTCTCCAAGGGTCAGTACTGGGGCAACCCTGCTTAAGAACTTTATTGATTAACCAAAGGAGGGGACTGAGTGCACCGTATGGAAGCTTGCAGATTACACCAAGTTGGAGCAAGCGTTGATCTGCCTGGGGCTAGGAAGGCCCTACAGAATGATCTGGACAAGCTGGATAGCTGACTGTGGCCAACAGGATGAGCTTCACCAAGACCAAGTACCAGGTCCTGCTCTTTGGCCACAACAACCCCCATGCATTACAACAGGCTTGTGGCAGAGCAGCTGGAAGGCTGTGTGGAGGAGAAGGACCTGGGGGTGCTGATTGATGCTCAGCTGAACTGAGCCAGCAGTGCGCTCAGGTGGCCCAGAAGACCAATAGCATCCTGGCTTGTATCAGAAATAGCATTGCCAGCAGAAGCAGGGAGGTGGCCATCCCTCTGTACTCAGCACAGGTGATGCCACACCTCAGTGCTCTGTTCCATGTTGAGCCTCTCATCACAAGAAAAGGCACCAAGGAGCACATCCAGAGAAAGGCAGCAGAACTGTGACACGGAACAGAAAGCTGTCTCTACTTCAATTCTTACCACATTTGCCTGATTGTGCCTTAAAACTGCAACCCTGACTACTCAAGGGTTTGAAAGAGAGCTACCAGTGTCAGACTGCTGGCACACAGGGAACACGTGTCTGTTGTATCCAACAGATTATAGCTAGAAAACTCGCAGATTGCCTAATGGTGGTGGTATGCTTCATCTCTACCCCCGCAGTATATCCCGCTTCCTCATGCACACGTTTCTATAGTTGGTCAAACAGTGTGATTGCTGGCAACTTCTAAAGTTGCCGTTTGAATCATGTCTGCTATTATTCAATTCTGCTGTGGTTCTCTGGAACGGGGATTAAATATTAAGCCTATGATCCCAGCAATAACTAAGCGTAAAATATGAAGGAAAACTTCAGGGCAGCATGCAGGCAGAATGAAATCTTCAAGGGAAGTTTTCCTTTCCTGAGTGCCTGGTATATACTATAAACAAAAATATCAACTGACTTCTGGATAACTACTGTAAAGCCTTATGCAACATATTTCATACCAGTTTGTTCATTCGTCTTAAACCTGAAATCAAGAAATCTGATCTCTCCTGGTTTTATTTTATGCAACCTGTTTTGAGAATAGCTTCATTTTCAAGTGCTCTTCTGCAATAAAGAGGACAGAAGCTAAAAGAGAATCAAGGAAAACCTTTTCGTGGCACTTAAGAGTCTTTATTTCTTCCCAGTTTCAGACCCATTTTGGGACATAAAAGGTGGGTTTTTTTTCATTAATCCTGGAATTTGGACAAGATTCTATACCAATTTCATCCAGTGCACAATGTTTCATACATCTTAGAGGAAGAGGGAATATCCACCTTTCTCCTCCACATGCCTTCCTATGATAATTCCTTCATAGTAAAGATATTAATTCTAGCATCATCTGTTTAATGCAGTAGAAAGATCTTATACTACGCCAAGCAGCACTGAGAGATAAAGCTTTAAGATCTATAGCATATGTAATATTCCACGTCACCTATATCAATGCAAAGTCATTAAGACATCAAAACTTTAAGAAAAGATGCGGCATTTCATCCTGTACTGAAGTGAAGCATAACAAAATTGTGGCCTGCTTCTGGAATCTTTAAGCTATTTCAAATAACAAGACAGCTGAATCTGAAACAAATTTCCCCAGTGCTATCTCACCTCACAGGAAACCTGAATTCTGTATACTGTAACTAAAAGCTCTTTCTCCTTGCAGAGGAAATAAGTCCTATTTACAGAACTTAGAGGAATGGACAGGAGAGGACATTCCACTTCTGCTCCTGCACCCCTCCAAAACATGCCCCGAATCCCAATGGGGGCTTCTTCTTATCCTACAAAGGTATGTTAAATACCTCTTTTATCATCTGGAGAAGCTCAAGCCTGCTGTTCATACACAGGTTTCTGAAAAACAACCATGTGTAGAACTCAGGTGATGCACCTCCTTACATTCAGGCTGGGATAAGACAGCTTCAAGTGTTTCCTTCCTTTCCTGTGCTTAGGATGCTAGAGTTTGTTGCTGTCGGGCCAACAGTGGCAGAGAGCTGGGAGAAGAATCCAGCCCTGTGCCATGGTCCACCCCCAGCTGAGCCCTGCAGCCAATTACCCAGCAGAAGGGAAGGCTCAGAAACACTGTCTCCCCAGGGGCTCCATCTGGCCACAGCTTCATTGGCAAAGCCAAGCTCCAGGCTCAGCTCCTGCATGAGCTGCTGAAGTTCAAGGCAGGCTGTCTGTGATCCAGGGGGCCAGCAGCAAAGAGAATTCCTTCTCTGGGACAACCTTAGAATGAGGATTTTGCAACATGCCATTATATAGATTCAATTTGAGCACTGATTTTGGAGTTTATTATGCTCAAGGGGATCTTGAAACTTTATGTAACAACTTTTTCCTCTGTATAGCTCATTGAGGAGAGAATTATACATGTACATTGAACACACACATTTCCTCTCACGCAATTCATGAAATTTGATTGCGAATCAAACAAGAAAACACACATTTTCTACATGCAGAACTAAAATAAGCACCAACACGACAACAGCAAAGTTTCAGAAGTTGAATTTTTCTCCAGTTACTAAGTAGTACTCAAAAAGTAATGAAAAATTATTGTTGGAAGAAAACTAACAGATTGGAAGCAACACATTCACCCAGTGACACTAAATTGCATGCAACCAGAAATATGAGAAAGAAGTGAAGACATTAATTTTACTGACCTCTGATTGAAATAATTAAGAGTAATATATCTTAGCAATTCTCTTAGAAGCCTGAAAAATGTACCACAGCTGCAGGCAGCCAATTCACCTGTCTGCAAAGCAGCACATTTTTCCCACATACTTAGTATTTATGAACTCACAGCATTGCTCCTTAATACTGGAAGACCTCAACAGAGCCACAAAAGCACCAAATGAGCATTCCAAACCACAGCAGTTTAAGCTCTTCTCACCTAATTTGTTTTGATTAAAATTTTCCATGTGTAACAGGCAAGAGTCAGTTCCATTAGGTTAGAAAGGAAATGCTCCTGGGTAAATCTGAAAGGAGCAGTCCCAGAACTGATCAGCAGGTACTCGGGTGCCTGTTTCAGCTTCTATCTGCACAACTTAACAATTTCCCAACTTCGTTAAACTCTCCTTCCTCCACCATAAGCAGAGCTTGAAGAGTGTCTTCCATTAAGCTCATCTTGCTCCCGCTTAATTAAATCAAGCTCAAGCCCCTGACTACACTGATAGCAGACCCAGGAGCTGCTCTCTCACAGTCTCTTCTTGGTCTCCCTTCACACTCCAGCTGTCAAACACACTTAATCACAATAAAAGTCATCTGGAACGAAGTCTTCCAGCAACACTGCAGGAAGTTGAAAGCAACATTTAGCAAGATTTTCTGTGGTCACCAATTTCTTCTAGCCCAGAGAGTATTGAGCACAGCACTGCCTGCACTCCCCATTCTATTACAAAAAACTAATCCCATCGCATGACCTGCAGCAATTCAGTTTAACAAATCCACAATTACAAATATTTTGGCAAAGTAAGCTTAGGTATTGTTTGCCTCTCGGCACAGCTCACAACCAGTTTGTGGCTTTATGATAAAAGTCATTAAATCCAATCTGAAAAGCAGAATTTACAGCTCACTTAGCAAGTCAGGCCCATAAATGGCTGCTTTCAATTACAGGGCATTTACATGCACAGTCATTAAGGCAGTGTTGAGTACATTTGAAAAATCTAGAATACTTTTATAATAATTAAAACTCTGTGTGCTGCTCTTTATAGAAAGAAAACTTGGGAGTTTTCTTCAGTCTCAACCATAATTCATATTCTTTGTTAGCCAGAACATACTACCAAGCCTGTTCTCCCAGTACGATTGTGGGAAGGAGATTAGACAGATGGAGACAAGTTTTGTTTTTAAATCTGCGCTCAGCAGCAGAGATTTCTGAGCTCCAATACACTCAATTACATCAACCAGTGCTCAACACTTCTGAAAGATCAAGTGGAGCAGGAAGGTGAAGGAGCACCCAGCAGGGCTTTGCATTTAGAGATGCATTGTGATCCAAATTCACCTGCTTTTGCTCCTGCCCCTGGTTTCCAGGAGGGGAAAAGAGATCAGTTATGAGACCAATTTTTTAAAATTCACTTTTTTCAGATGTGCTTTATTTTGAGGGGGGAGAAGGGGGGGAAGAGAGGGAATTATTATTACTATGGTCAAATAAACCTCAGGAACATTGACAAGTTTTCTCCAAAACTGTATTATGCGTGGCCAGATTCCTCCATAAAGAAAACTGAACCTGCACTCCTGTTCATTCTGGTGACAGTCAGTGCAGTCCAATCCTGAACAACACGATTACAGACCAATCCTCTAACAAGTCATTAAACATCCCAAACTACTGTTAAAGGTGATGCTAAGAACACACTGAAGTTTGAGCCACTCTTAGTGCAATCCTCCCCCACTCCTCTTTTAAAGGCACTGATAATCAATGCTATCTTTCACCACGATAGTGCTAAGCAAATGGAGCGAGGCAGGGAAAAGCAACTACAAACTTCAAACCTTTCTTTATTTATATTCTCATTCCCCTGTAATTCACTGGAGTTTGTGAACACTGAAGTTTTAAGGCCATCAAACAATAAAGCTACTCATGTACCATGCAACCACGGTTCCAACACTGTGATAACACTTCTTAAAGACTAAACAGCAACTGCGTTCCGTTAGATAAGCCTTTTGACTTAACAACAGGAGGTTCTTCCAGTCTGGAGAACAGAGAAAAGACTCATCAGCCTCACTGCACACTCCAACCCCACAAAAGTAACGCTGTGAATCAGTCTGAAAGTGCAGCTCTCCAGGCTAAGAGTAGAACACTTACGGACAGGCAAACCTGCTGTTAGGTGTGGGCTCCTCGTAAGCTGTCATTACTAACTTCTCTCTGCAGATGGAAGTTACTCACCTGTGACCAGGAGCAGCATTTTCAGAAATTTTTCCTGCAGCGGATCCAGAAAACAGAACTTTTCCTTAAAACTACCTACTTAACGTAAAGGGATTTGAAGGGAGCACAACACACACGGCTTCTTTAGTCAAAGATCACGACACCCAACCAACAACACACAAAACCGAGCTGCAGCCTGTTGAACCCAACGGCTCTCCAGGATGCCACAAGGGCTCTTCACTCATCTTTTATTCCCCCAAGGCAAAGGCTGAAAGACCGCACCGAGGCACTCCTCCTCCCCTCCGAAAAGAAACAAAAAAACAGCACAGACAGAACCGCTACGCTGCTCTTACAGGAGCAGCGCAGCGTGCACGAGCTGAGAGGGGCGTGATGAAAGGTCCTTCCCTAGAGGGGCACGGCCCCGAGCTCAAGGAGGCACGGCTCTCAGACACGCGCTGTGGGTTCGTGCTGTTCCCCGCGTTGGACCCGACTCCCCCCCACCCGCCGCCCCGAGCGCGGCCGCATCCCCACCACAACAAAGGGGGAGAAGGCGCCGCGCGGCCCCCGCCGGGCCCAGGCCCGTACAGCCAGCACCAGGTCCTCCCCACCGCCCGGAATACCCCGCGGTTCTCCTGCCTCTCCCCGCCGCTCCCGCTGACCCTCAGTCCCGTCCTCCTCTCGGCCGGAGCGTCCCACACCGACCTCTCCTCTCAGAGCTGCTGTTCGTCCGCCGCCTCCCTCAGCGCTCTGTGCTGCTCGCCCGCCCTTCCCGTGCCTGTTAGTGACTGCTACGCTCCGCCCACCGAGGTGGGAGGGGAGACGGCTTATTGGCCGATCTACCTGCGGCTGATAGAAAGAAGAGATGGGATTGGTTTGACCCTTCCACGAAGCCGATTGGCGGACTGTGCAGCCAATGGGAGTGGCGGTAGGAGAAAAAAAAAAAGAACAAGAAGAGGAGGGCTGGAACCGGGTGGGAGGGCTGACGGCGGCGCTGCAAAACAGCGCTCGTCATTGGCTACTCCAGCTGTCACTCTCCGGCAGACGCGCCCGCTGGGGGCGGTCGAAGGGGCAGAGCTTGTGTGGCGCGTAGTGCGCAAGCGCGCTGAGGGGCGCTGTGGTGCTGTGGTGGTCCGCTGCGGAGGCCTTGAGGGGGGTGGTGGAGAAGTGGGGTCTTGTCCCTTCAGAGCTTTCACAGAGCCCCTCCAGAACCCCCTTGGACTCCAGCCGAAGCCCCCACAGAGCCCCTCCAGAACCCCCTTAAACCTCAGCCGAAGCCCCCATAGAGCCCCTCACTGCCCCTCAGCCCCTCAGAGCCTCCTCTGGTTGATCCTTTCCCCATGGTTGATCCCTAACGCGGCTGTTCTGCTGCAGCCACTTCACAGACAGCCGTCTCTCCAGAGCCTCTGCATCTCTGTCCAGTTAATTGAAATAAGTTTAAAAAAAAAAAAAAAAAAGTGGATGCTGGGGGACTTCTGGCAGAAATGAACAGGAGCTGCATGAGCCTCATTTCTTTAAGGAAGGAAAGGCAAAATAAGCAGACAGCATCAGAGCCCAGAAGCCGCCTGAAGAGCCTGGGTGCCATGGAGAAGCCAGGCAAGGTGTGTGTCTGCAGCTTCAGCAGCCCCAGAAAGCACTCCCAGGCACATATTTGCACCCTCAGGAGCAGTGCCTCCTTTGGTTAAAAATAAACAGCAATATCCAGTCCCTCGTGCTGAAGCTGGGTGTTGCTAGATGCTGGTAAATCAGTGTGGCTCAGCACGATTTGCACATCAGCAGCAAGGTGCGGGTGGATGGATACAAATCCCTCTTGGATTTGAACCCGCGGTGGAAGCATCCCTAGGAAGGGTTCTAAGGGTTCTACCAGGGATCAACAACCTCAAAATGACGTTCTCGTGGTTATTTCCCAGCCACTGTTTCACCTGTCGGGGAGAAAGAACGAAGGGAGTAATCTGTGATCTAAAGGCAACATGATGAAATGGTGATCGGCTGCACCGCGCTGTGTGTTGACTTCCCAAGGGCTGTGAGCAAATCCCTTGAAAGATAGAGAAAGCCGATATCAGATAAGTTCAAAGACACCTGGGATTTCTAAATGACCAGACACTATCAGATATCATCGTGAAGATGAAGACAAGCATGAAGTGTATTGCCAAGAAGGCAGGGCTTTGGAGACAGAGCAGATAGTTTCCGTGTTGAGGTTGTCCTCTTAGCAGTGTGTCAAAATGATCTGTTCTACAGAAAATAACAAGAGGGAGAGCTCCAAACAGAGTTTGGGTACAAAAGGATCAGCCAGCATGCTCAAGAGAGGGAATAATATATGCTGAAAATGACTGTGAGTCCATGGAGAAGCACTGTGAAGTGCTCCCAGATTTCTTACACTCATTCTATTGAAGCTCTAGCATATCCTTCAATAAGAGCTTTGATTCTTACTCAGTGGCTGCAGTGCTGCTTCCCCAGAAACTTCTCAGTCATAGCAGCGTGTTGTAGACTAAATATGTGCAAAGGAGCAGTGTTCCTCCTTTAAAAAACTCCAAGACTTAAAGCTGGGAGCAATAGCAAAGTACATAAAAGGACCTCTCATTTTCCTGCTCTTCTTTTTATCTTTTTAGTAATGAAAAGTGTCTGTAATGTTGAAACTCTAACCTGTCCACTGCCCCTTCCAAAATGCAGAAGTATGTTTCCTATACTATTCCTATACTCATCACTCTAGTTTCAGATCAGGCTCTTAGAAGATTTCAGAGCAAAGCAAAAAAAAAAAAAAAAAGCAAAAAGCACAGCAACAAAAAGAACACACAGTGCAAAGAACTTGATAGCCTCTTATGTAAGCTTGTCAAAATGGACTTGAGAAATAATCATTGTAAAATAACACACTAAAAGCAGAGACGTATTTCTTTCTCTATCAGAGTACAAACTGGTTGGTACTCCTGTTACAGAGTGCATGTGTCATATATAATAGAGCTAGACAATGATTTTCAGAACTGACATCTCCTGAAATAAATTCATGACATAATCAGGAGATTGATGTATTTATCATAGAATCATAGAATGGTTTGGGTTAAAGAGACCTCTAAGATCATGTAGTTCCAAACCACTGCTATAGGCAAGCTCACCTTCCTCTAGACCACGTTGCTCACAGCCTGGTCACAGCCAGGTAACTCACATCCAGCCTGGCCTTGAGTGATTCCTGGGAGTGGACATCCACAACCCCTCTGGTCAGCCTCTTCCAGTGTCTCACCAGCCTCACAGTAAAGAATATCTAATCTAAATCTAACCTCTTCCAGTTTAAAGCCATTTCCCCCTGTCCTGTCGCTACCTGCCCTTATAAAAGGTGCCTGTCCAGCTTTCCTGTAGGTCCCCTTCAGGTACTGGAAGGCCGCTATTTTGATTTGCATGGTATAATTCTCGTGAGTAAATGATGAAACTAGCTTAACATCTCCATGTATCCTAACAGCCAGTGCCTAGTTGTTTTACTCTGCCCTGAAATGGGTCAGGAATTCCATGCAGTCAAGGCAGTAAATCGTGATAGAGGAAAATTACAAAGGCTTGGTAGCTCAGATGCAATCACAGACGTTACGCATACCTTAAACTTGGTCATCTCAACATCATGGCAGTCTCCAGGCTTCAAAGCCCCAGCTTTATGCCTAACTGTAGGTGTGGTCAGCCAGTACCAAGGAACTTCTTACACTGCTTGAACTCAGAACACTTTAATTATGGCCTTAAGTTGCGCCAGGGGAGATTCATGTTGGATATTGCTAACAGTTTCTTCTCTGAAAGAGCAGTTGACACTGGCACAGCTGCCCAGGGAAGTGATGGTGTCACTGTCCCTGAAGGTGTTCCAGAACCATGGAGATGTGGCACCTGGGGACATAGTGGGCATAGGTTGGGGTTGGGCTTGGGGATCTTGTAGATCTTTCCAACCTTAGTGATTCCATGATTCTATAATTCACACTGCTAGCAAGGGCCTGGCTGCTCTCAGCTGCCCACAGCCATTGCAAATAGCATTTCTTTCCTTTGCCTCCCTGATCTGTATAGATCTGACATGCTTTGTGTCCTCAACATTTCTGTTTTTTTTTCTCAGGTTGTTCGTCCATCATTTCCTATTATCCCAAATACAACACCATTCCTCTGCCTATGTCCTTCAGTTTGGACTGAAGTTGATTAGAAACACATTTATGCTAACCCCAAGTAAGCCATCGTTAAACTGAAATAGCCTTGTTTACAGAGAGATTTACACCCGTTTATCTTTATTGACTTAAATAAACAAGAGTAATTGAGAGGAGGCCTGGGGGACAATGGCTTTGTTTCTGAATTAATGGCAGGCCTCAGTCCAGCAAGGATTTGTGTATGCACTTAAATCTGCGTAGTGAATGGGTCTGTTGAAGGCAGTGGCATCAGCCAAAAGAATAAAATTCAGCATAAATGCGATCAGTCTTCTGATTTTTTTTTAATTTTTTTTTTCTTTTTGCCATCCCTATTCCCTTCTTCTGGTTTCATTTTCCAGCAAACTGAAATTAATTCATCATTATGGTGAAATCTGCACATTAAAAAAAATAGTTGCTGCCTCCCAAGGAAGGATCAAAATAAACCAATTTATGCTATGATCAGTTATTGCAATACAGTCTGCTTCTGTTTTACCCTGTGTGAGATGCACTATGCTAATTAAGCATATGTTTGTATAGATTAGTCTCAATGAGATTTACCCCACTTTTCTACACCATCTGTGCTACATTGGTAGCAGAGTTGGAAGTGATTTCTCCATATATTTTCTCTATTAGTTTATGAAATATCTAGAATCCTTTGAGATAAAAGTTTTCCCCGTGTTATTATTGGTCTTGCCAAGCTTTAGTTGAGAATTTTGAATATTTGTGCTTTCAAAAACTGGTGATTTAGGGCAATATCAAATGAAATAGTTGTTGTTATTTTGATGAGTAGCACAAATAAAGAGAAGCTGCAAAAATCTCCCTTGCTTATTTTTATTTAGAGTTATAAAACGTATATTACTGCTAGTCAGATAGAGACATCACAAAATAAAAATATGGCCATAATAAAAAACTGGGCTGTTCTTCCTCCAGGATTTAAGTCACTAAGAGGTTAAAAGTCAGCATTTAACCAGAATCTTCAAATTTATGATGAAGAAAGACCATTACAGTCATCTCCTGTATATTATTTATTTCAAAAGCCAGATCATTTCCTCAATAGAATCCCTTTTTTCAAGCTCATAATCTCTGCAGCTGGGAGCTACTGCCAACAGTCGTGGAGAGGGCAGCTCAGAGCCATCTATGAGCCTGAGGTGGGAGAAATCCAGCAACCTGGCATGAAAGCGAGAGCATTTCTTGTTTATCTGCATGGAATCTGTTTAGCTTCAACATCATGCTCATTATACCTTTAGGGAAGGTTTCATTTTGCTAGACTCGTGTCCGTAAGAAGACATTTCCATTGCATGTAAGGATTTGACAAGTGGAAGTGAATTACATCTGTGTGGTTTTCTTAAATAAATGAATCAGGCTGAGTTTCTTTGGTCTCTCATTGCAAGGCAAGTTTCCAGACCTTAACATTCATTCCAAATCCTCTTTACTTCTCCAATGTCTTTTTTAAAGTATGGAATCTTAAACTTATATTTAAATACTTACACTGGATAATAACGGTTCCTTTTTTAGGACAAGTGGTAATGGCTTTAAGTTGTGCCAGGAGAGGCTCAGGTTGGATATTAGAAGCAATTTCTCCTTTCAGGAGTGCCAGTGCCGTGGCACAGGATGCCCAGGAAGGTGGTGGAGTCACCATCCCTGGAG